CCTCCAGCTGCTGCAGAGGAACATCGAGCCCTGTACATCACCCGGCCCAGCACAGAGGTTTATCAAACGGCGGGAGCAAGCCAGTGCTGAGGGGTTCAGCATGGGAAGGCAACCCCGAGCGATCGCACAACCTCCACATCCACCCGCAATTGGGAGGGAGGAATTTCTGCACGTCTGAGCAGGCTCGGCTTAGCCAGGGCTCAGCAGAGCCGGGAACAGACGCTGGCACGCTCCCCGCGGAGGGGAAGGGGATGCGCTCCCCTTGGCATTCACAGCGGCCAGGCAGGCTCTGGGTGCCAGCACCCAGCATGAAAGAGGGAGGCCCCGGGGAGCAAGTCTGGCAGCACAGCCCATAGCCTGTGCACATCCTCCCCATCGCAGCCATCGTGCAGAACTGGTTTGAGTTTTCAGAGTGAAAATATGGCAGAGAAATGACAGACAGATAGAAGGACGGACATAAAGAAAGAAGGCAGCTGAGCAAGAACACAGACTCGGGATCAGCTCGGGAACACCTGTGGGCAGGTCTCAGGAGGGAGCTGGATGCCAGCAGGGTGGCTGGTGCCCGCTTGTCCCACCTTCTGCGAAGGGATTTCTGTGCCCAAAGTGCTCCAATTCAACACCAAACTTGACCCACCCCATAGCAAACGGCTCCTGTGCCCAGTGCTGCCTTATCCCATGGCCTCTGTGTACCACAGCACCAACATCTTTGGGGACCCCCTGAGGTCTCCCCAGCTTGTGGCTGGGTTTCGAGGCGCCCCTCCACACCCCACTGCTCTCCAACCCACTGGGAACGAGGAGTGGAGTCTCCCTGGCCAGGCACGGGAGCGTCTCCGCCGCCATTGCCAGCCCGGGGCTCCCCTCCCGAGCTCACCCCTCCCTCCCCTCCTGCTTTTAGTAAGAGCAGAAATTGCCAAACCCACAAAATTAATGTCTAACAGGTTCAAGGCAGAGCAATTCAATCCCTGCTTGCAACAGCCTGGGAGGTTTCCGGCCAGCTGCCGCCCGGCTCCCGGCTTGGGGGTAGATCATCCCTGCATAGGCTGCAAAGTGGGTCCCCCATCTCAAAACCAGTGTCCCAGCTGTGCGAGGGAGAGGCACCTCCTGGGCGAAGCCCCAGCCCCGTTACTCCTCCCCGGCCCGCAGAGATGGTGGGGACACAGCAAGGAGCTGGCACAGCCGGAGGGGCGGATAGCCGCAGGCAGGGAACAGGCAAGCACCTCAGGGGAGAAACCAGTGTCCCCCAGCAACCCCAGCCAGCAATGCCCGAGGTGTGGTGGGCACGGGACTGGGTCCTCACATCCCTCACGGGGATGTGCCTGCTTACAGCCTGGTCTGAGTGCCACCAGCCCCCCCC